ACATGGCAGAGACAGCAGGGCCCCTAAGAGGAGCTGGGTCCTTGATACAGACTAGAGCCCCCGTGACAAGGCAGTGGGCAGCCTCTACAGGAAGCTCAAGGTTCCAGAGACCCAAACAGGCCCCAGGCAGGGAAGAGAGCACATGCAGAGCCCCATCTCCTCAGATGCTGACCATCCACAGACGTTGGCTTCCTCAGCAGCAAAATAGGGTCTGGGTAAGTCAAGGGGATGCAGCAGGAAACTAATCCTCCAGGAGGTGCCCTCCCTAGGACTGGGCCTCTGGAGGGGGGAGGGGGAGTCAAGACAATGCAACTAGGCCAGTGGGCAAGTACAACACCTTTGCAGGCACCCTGCGCCAAGACTGATCACCACCAGTGTCAGGGACCTGGCAGCCCTCCAATCTGCCAGTCATTGCAATGAGGGATCCAGGGTAGGACTGGATTTGAATCTGCTGTCTGCAAAAATCTCCCTGTGAAACAATGAAAATGCAGTGTCCCAGCTAGTCTAAGAATGGATGGTCCCTAGAAAATTACCTTGCCTCTTGGCCTCACTTTGTACTCCAATAAAATGTACAGCCAAGAAACAGCAGCTTCTACTGCTGCTATGACAATACTTAAATAATCATTTATTGCACTAGATGACTATTAGTATTGTTGAACTAGTTACTTAACTCTATCCCAGTGATCTAGAACAGAAACCTTTTTTGTTTGTTTGTTTTTGTCAAGACAGGTTTCTCTGTGTAACCTTGGGTGTCCTGGAACTCACTGTGTAACTCAGGCTGGCCTCAAACTCAGAGATCCACTTGCCTCTGCCTCCTGAGCACTGGGATTAAAGGCGCGTGCCACCACACCCAGCTCAGAAATCTTAACTATAGAACAGGCTTAGATATTCCACAAGAAAGCTGCAACTGATGAGCCCTGAACTGTGACCCCACAGCACACTTGAATCCTGTTATCTAAAGGACATTTGCCTCCTTGGGCAGGGACTGTCCTCCCCGGAGCCCCAGTTAGAATGTACAGGTCTGGGGACCGGGCTGAGGGGAGGGGTCGGTGGACAAGAAGCTGTAATGTATTCTGTCAGTAGTGGGACAGGGGTGGCGGTCCTGATAAGCCAACATAAGTCTAAGCTCTGCAGAGAATATACATTGGAGGGGACTCTGGGACTCCTGTCTTTACTGTCAGAGATCTGGTGGTCATTCTTAGCACGAGATCCCTCTTTAAAACACAAACACTCCCATGCTGTCTGTGGAGGGACTAACCCTGACCAGATGGACCCGAGAGGAGTTGAGAGGAACTGAGTGCAGCCATACCCCACATATGTACTGCTCTGAGGATATCCTGTCAGTTCCCCCTGCAAAAGACAGAGCCCAGAAATCTGAAGCAAGACAGACAGGTCAGTTGCAGGACAGGAGGTACCAGCCCTCAGACAGCCTAGTACCCAGTCCAGGCTTCCAAGAGTTAAGACCCACAGCAAAAGGGGGAGGCAGGGTCAGTGCTGGACAGGCGGGCCTGGAGCCCAGGGCCTGCTTCCCCTCCCCCTCCCCCAGGAACAGAGGCCACTTGTTTGGGCATTGGCGGCTGGCTTTGAGCTCAGCCAAGGAAGAGTGGAGTGGGGAGGGAGAAACCCTCAAGAATGGCAGTGACCCCCCCCCGCCCCGAGGCCTGATCATGGCTAGCACTAGTCCTCTGCGCCACTGCTCCCCACCGCCCTCCCTCTGGGGTCCCCTTCCCTTCACTCAGACTCTAGGCAGGATTCACACAGGCCTGACGCTTGCTTTAGCAGTTGTCCTTAGAGTATGAAGCCAGGCTTACCAACCCACCCTGCAGATATGGAATGGGGACTCTGAAAAGGACAGACGGGCAGTGTCAAAGTCACTGTACCTCAAAACCAGGCTGCCATAGCAGTCCACATCTGAGCCCCTAAGTCTCAAAGAACATGGGGATTTGGATGAGAGGGAAACTCGTGGAACCAGCAGCTTTGCACAAAGGTTGATGAGTGGAGTGTGTGGCTGGACCCCACGTGATTGGGCCCAGTGAGGCCTGAATGTCCAAGAGAAACTTGGGGGCATCGGGGCTACCTCCACCTTACAGACAGCCATCAGTTGCCTGCCTTGGACATCTCACTTGTATCCTGTTCCCCTGGGGAGCAGGGTCCCCAAGCCACAGTCTAAAAAACTCCAACAGGGTATGAGTCCCAAGGATGAGTTCTACGCAAACCCTCCCCTCCAGCCCTTAGCAGCCACACCCACCAGAGAATCCCTTCCTCTGCACAAGCTCTGCCCTCACCTTGCCGCCAGTTTTTGCAAACAGCCACTTAACTACCAAGGAGAGTTCCAGGCATCCTCTCCTCTCCAAGTCGACACCTGTCCACACAGGTCTCTGGGTTCTGCTGAGTTTCTTCTACCCTGTAATGATGATGCTAGGATGCTAGGCTTCCCCCAAGCAAGGCGGTTACTGCTCTCCAAGTACAGGTATAAGGGTCCCTGGAACCCAGCAGCAAATTCTTACCTGAGCAACCCCCAAGTCCAGCCTGAACCCTCGCATCCCGAGTCTGGGCATTAGGAAAGGTTCCCAGGACACCGGATTTAGAGGAACACAGGGCAGAAGCCTACTGCGCTGGCTCCTAATCGCCCAGCACCCAAATCTACCCATGGAAATCTGAGACCAAACCACCCACCCCGCCGTCCCTGGCTGCACTGCAAGCCTGCTCCCTGCTCCAAGCCCATCCACCCACTCCCAGCCTGACCCCGTTCAATGAACACACCCCTCCTTTCCCGGCAACTGGGCCAGGTAGGCTCTGGAGAAACCGTGCCCCCATTAACTCGTGGAGAATTGAGGTGCAGAGGACGGAAGTAGCCTGCCCAAGGTTACCAACGCCCCAGGTCCAGGGCTAAAGTCCTACAGCTTTGCCAGGCTGTAGAGTGTCCGCGGTCTATCGGGAGGGAGGCTTCAGTTTCTCAGGTCGGAAAACCTAGCCGCCCGACGCGACTCACTCCGGAGCCTAGGAGCCGGCAAGCAGAAGAGCTGACGGTGGAAGCCGGTGTCAACCAGCTCATCCTCCCTGTCCCTACCGGTCTAGTCAGAAGCTTCCACCTCCGGAGGCGACCCCACCTCACTCCAACCCCAGCACGAGAGTGCACCAGATGACCCCGGGAAAAGTGCCCCGGGCCTCACCATTCCCTTCTGAGGAAGGGGAGCAGTGCAGGCCACAACTGACCATTGGAAGGCCCCAGCAACCCAACTGACCTGTTTTGAGCGAAGAAAACTCCACGCGGGATACCCGGGGTCCCGGTACTGTCTGTCACACGCGGCCGCTGCCAACTCGCTGCAGCGGCCCGGGCGCGCCCACCTAGCTCGGCGCTTCCGCCCGCCCCACGTGACACTCCGGGGACGTGAGGGCGGGGAAGGGACAGGGAGCTGGCCGGTCCCGCCCCCATCCTAGTCCGATCTTCTGTTCCCTGGACGGACTTGCCCTTCTAACTTGCTAAGGCTTGAGTCCCGTCTACCCCGCCCTTGCTGAGACTCTACTGATCACTTGCCTCAACACCTCTGTTCTGGTGAGTTCATCCCTGGGAGATTATAGGAAACAGACAGACAGACGGACACCACCTCCAAAAGATAGCGCGCGCGCACGCGCGCACACACACACACACACACACACACACACACACACACACACACACACACACACACACACACAACCAAGGACAACCATGGCCCGTCAAGACTTTCCCTGGGAGAGTCCTTCCACACCATTTCTGTTCCCCCCAGGACCACAGCTCCCCAAAGAGGGTCCTGGGTAAATCCCACCAGAGGGTGGCAGCTTCTCACCTTCTCCCCAAACAGATGAAATCCCTAGACTTTGCAGGCATTTCTGGGTCCTGGGGCCAGCCAGCTAAGCCAGAGGCCTTAGCTGGAATTCCATTTTCCCATAGGTACAATGGGCATATTTGGAAGAACAGCTCTCAGCAGGGTGGGCCTAGGGGGTTGCCCTGAAGGGAGGAAGGTGCCTTTAACCAGATAGCTACTCCAAGCCTGGCCCAGTGATGGGCCCTTTGTTCTTTTTAGTCTCAATTATTGTCCTAGGTTCCAGGCTAGGAAATGAGAGTCTGCAATTCTTCAGGGTGTTCTCAAAGTTAAGGACCATTACGGGCTAAGCTAGAACTGGAACTTTTCAGGAGACAAGGTCTTCTGTCCAGGTACTCTCTCCACAGAAACTGTTCCTCTGGGAAGAACGACTCTGTGTTGTTTTTCCACTGGCAAGGGTTTCTGGGAGAGGTGAACAGGGTCAGATCTTTGGGAGTACTTACAAACCCCAAGTTCCTGTGATGCCAAAAATGCCAGAGAAGAGCAAAGCTTAAGACCAACTCTGGGACTGTGGGCATCCCTTGGGCAGCAGATGAGCCACAGACAGCAGAGGCAGCCCAGGCTCCCTCTGGTCTCAGAGGAGCCAGGTATAACATGTGAGTGAGGGCTGACACCTGGTCAGAGGAGGGACCCCATGACCTCTGTCTTCAACACTGACTGCCTCTGCGTGCACTGGACACGTCCTCACCAGGACCCCCCCCCCTTCCTTCTCCAGGACATGCTGTCCTGCCCAGTTCTGAGGCCTTCAGCTCTTGTCTTTGACCTGTGGGTCCCTTCCCCTCCTTCTGTGAAGACAGGAGCCACAGAGTGTGCCAGACCCACAGTCCAAAGCTAGACTGGACCAGAGGTCTGTCACACAATAAAAACCTGACTTCTGGCCAGACCAGCTCCTCCCACAGTCCTGAAAACAAGCGACAACCTTTGTGACCAGCAAAGTCAGCGTGCACATGGACAGGGAGAAAGGAAACAAAGGACAGGAGGAGGCAACCACCCCATCCTGCAGTTACACAAGTAGAAACAAGATGCCTACAGGTGCAAAGGTCCATCGAGCAACCATAGTATTAAGGAAAATAACTGTAGAACAGGGCAGCGGGTTGCTGGGCAGATGAGAAGCAGGCACGAGAAAGAGCGGGCTGGGGCTGTGTGGTTCATTTATTGGGGCCATGTCCAGCTAGGCTGCAGCCACCTGAGCAGAAGCCCAGTGCCCCCAGAAGGCAGATGGGGAGGGAGGAAGTGCAGAAGGCTCAGTGCCCCAGGGCTCGGCCCCAGTCCTGTCTTGGTCCTTGCAGAGAGGCTGTGCTCAGGTGAGTGAGGTGTCATCATCGCTGCCCTCTCCTCCTGCACCACCTGCCCGCTCCTCGCGGCTCTCTGTCACCGCACTCTCATCGATGTTCTCCAGGGAGTCTGCATGTTGCACTGACAGCTCCGACAGCGCCAAGCTGGGCAGTGGGCTCTGCTCCGGGTGCAGCCAGGGCTTAAAGTGTGGCTGGTGCTTCTGCTTCCACTCGGGGTACTTGATGCAGGCCTTGTACATCTTCTTCATGGCCTATAAGTGTCCGAACATGGTAAGGAGTGCCTGGAGGACCAGTACTTCCCCACACCCCTCCAGTGTCCTCCACTGGTGCACAGCAGTCCCCAGTGTCCCAATTATGGCCCAGTTTGGAGACCTGGTTCATCCATCAGCCAGAGTTAACTCTGGCACTGCCCACTGCTCCCTGCCCCTCCCGACATGCCCCAAAGTACAAAGCCACGTACCTTGGGAGCCAGGAACTGAGATGACTTATTCACCACCCACTTGGGTAAGGAGCCTGTGGGGGCAGGGACGGGGGAAAAGGCAGTCTTAAGCACCTAGCCCCACCCACTGCCTGAGTCTGTAGGGAGGCCTCCCTTTTCGTCCCTTCTCAATGAAGTTCTCAAATCCCCCATGCTCATCTCTGTCCCCACTGTCTCTGCTGAGCTCCAGCTGCAGAGAAGAAAACCATAGGGTCCTAGGCGACCACAAGTAACCTGTGGGTTGACATTCTGACCCAGCAAGCTCCAGATTGTCACCTTCTTCCCCTCACACTGATAACCCAGAACTGTCCCCGGTGCTCAGCCTCTCTCCTGCCTGTCCTTCTGGGCCTCCTAAGACCACAGTCTAGCCTGACCCAGAATCCATAGCCCAGCTCTCCATCTGCCTCACTCCCAAGTGCCTGCTCTGTACACTCATTAAGGGCCAAGGGCCTGGGCCACTGTGCCCAAATGACATGGGGTATTCCTGTCAATGACACTTGAGGTTTAACCATTGTTTATTCACTCCTTCAGCCACCCAGTCACTCCACATTCACTGTGACATCCACCCTGGCCTAGCCTGGAGAATCCAAACAGAAACTCAGTGTCTGCCGTCTCAACACGGACTGGTGCTCTGGCGGAGGAGAAAGGCCACACAGACAGGGAGTAGGGCCTCACTCTGGGAACTGAGGACAGGGGAAGACAGAGGATCACTGAAGAAGGACGAGGGACGCAGGCAGCTACCGGAGGACGAAGGCTGTAGAAACATCGACGTGGGAAATGGAAGGGTGTGTGTGGAGGGGCTAGAAATCCTGGGCAGAGGCTCAGGCTACAGAGGGCAACAGAGTCACAGTGGCATTTTAAGCAGGTGAGTCAGGAAATAAAGAGGTTTTTGTTTTTGCATTTCCTCCAGTAGCTGGTTTAGACAAAGTGGCAGAGTACCAAGAGAATGGCAGGCTAGGTGCTCTGTCAGAGGGTGAAAAGGTAAGAACCAGGGGCTGAGTATGTTAGCATGTTCCTGCAATCCCCAGTACTCAGCAGATGGAGACAGGATGATGACGAGTTCAAGGCCAGCCCGAGGTACAAAATGAGACATAAGAAAGAAAGGAAGGAAGAGGGACTAAGTATTGGATTTGAGAGCTGACAAGAAGAAGCTGGCCCCAGCTAACTGGTAAGTGCTGAGCAGGGGTGATGTGAAGAAGGGTGGGTTTAGGAGGCCAGTGGTGAGTTTATAATTGAATACAAGTCTCCAGTGTCTAGCAGATACCCTGAGGAAGATGTCTAGGAGGCTGGTCACCTCAACAGAGATGAGTGCTCAGCTATCATGGAAGTGAGGTGAAAGGGCAGGCTTGGAAAAACCCAGGCCTGTAGGACGTGGCTGAAGGAGAGACAGGGCAGCGCAGGTCCCAGCTAGGATGTTAGCACCAGGAACAGTTCCAAGCTCCTGAAGGAGCAATGCCTGCCTCGTAGGTCCATTCCTTTCCAACCACTAGCTCTGGCTATAGACACCCCTGGTACTAAGGGGTGGCCTTCGGGTGGCCTGGCAGATCAAGTTCATGCCCTGTACAGGAAGGAGCCCATCATGGGCTGCAGGGCCAAGCCCTCACCTTTGGGATCCACTTGGGCCAGGTAGGTAATGACGCAGCTCTTGGGCCCTGTGCTCTGAATGAGGTAGCCCGTCTGGATGGATACAGCTCTGACCAGGTCTTTCCGAGGTGGGTATTTCTGAGGATGAAAGACACAGGGAGGTGAGATGGGTACAGAAAGTGGAAATGTCTCTATAATGCATGCACTTGTGCACACACGAGCACACAGGAAATCACAGCTGTTCACGTCCCTTGGCATCTATGGGTTAAGGAAGGAAACCCTCAGGCCAGGTCATCCTGTCCCTCTTGCAGCTCTCTCTGTGCCCTCAGGACAGTACCGGACTGGGTCAGAGTTTATGAGTGGTTGTGGACACTCAATCCTTGCCTAGGTTAACCTGCCTGCCTCTGCTCTGCCAGGGAGTTCAAGTGAGTCCTGACACAGGATCTGGTCATATAGCTCCCGCTCCTCCATCTCTAGGCCAGACTTATCCCAAGGGTCAGTCAGCCACATCAGTTCAAACCACTGGCCCTTTCTGCCCACACTGCCCTTTCCCTGAACTGCTTGACAACCCCTGCAGGGAAGCCATCATCCTCACTATGCAGGAAGGAAATTGATCCCCATGCTTGCCTGAAGTCACTGTGGCAGCTACAAGCCAGCCCCACCCAGCACCCTTCTGCACATGCAGGAGGGAGAGCAGGCCAACTCACAGGATGTTTCACTGAGTAGTTCATAATGATGTAATCGGCGCCCATGGGGAGCCAGGAACGGAGGGTGATGACATCACGGTTCTTCAGGGGCTTGGGACACCTCCCTATAGAGGGCAAGGAACAGCTCAGCCAGGCTGCTGGCCCATCTTCAGATAAGGGAGGGTGTGATGGAGGCCAGAGCCTTGGGGATCTTATTAACTGCCAGCCCTCCCCATCCAGACAGGTGCCCCCACCCCTACCATAGACATGCTGTGGAACCAGGGAGGACACAGTAGAACCCTTGATCTCACTATCTCTGCCTACTCTGCCCTGCCGGGCCTCACATAGCCCTTACCTTATTGCTCTGACTTGTGTGTGTACGTGAGTATATTTGAAAGAAAGACAGTGCTGTGATCGTGTGTGCATGAAAATGTGTGTCTGTGGTACATGGCATGAGGTTGTGAATGGTGTGTGCACCTGTGCGTGCATGTCTGTGTGTGGTATCTTTGCAAGTGTGCATGTCAGTGAGTATGTGACTATGCCCAAGGAGAGAGCAGCTCTCCGTCTCGGCGTGCAGGTCTCTGAGCAGCCCGGCCACAGGAGTGGCCGCAGGGAGGGAAAGTAGAGGAGGAGACCTAGTGGGAGGTTGAGGGGGCTGGAGTCTTGTTCTATGCCTGCTCACAAGAGTAATATCCTACGTCAGCGTTGACAGTCAAGCGGGCGATGTCGAAAGTCTCGATGACGTTACTGTCCCACTTCTTTCGGTATTCTATGTCGTGCAGGACATCGTAGAGCGTCTCAGCTGGCACATCACAGCACTCCATCCTGCACTGCAGACAGACATGGACTGTCAGGGGCACACAGGCACAGGGAAAGAGAAGACACAATAACAGACAGGGTCCACTGAGGCCAACTTGGCCACTTCTTATCACAAGTCTGGTCCAGGTCCCCAGAAACCTCTTATACCAAAGGACAGTCAGCCCCCCAGCTCAGCCCGGTCTCCCCTTCAGGAATCCTTTTCAGGCTAGCCATCCAGGCTCCCACACTCAGTCTCTATGTCTGCCCTCCCTATCCCCTGGGAGCAGCGTGTGAGCAGAAGCTCACAGTTAATTCAACAAGAAGCTTGAGACAGGGCTGGAGAGATGGCTCAGCGGTTAAGAGCACTGACTGTTCTGCCAAAGGTCCTGAGTTCAATTCCCGGCAACCACATGGTGGCTCACAATCACCTTGAACAAGCCCTGATGCCCTCCGCTGGCATGCAGGCAGAAGATTGTATGCATAATAAATAAATAAAATATTTTTAAAAAAAGAAGTTTGAGATAGGTACACATTAAATGAAAAATCAAATGCCCAAACAGACCTTACTACCTGGCCACACTCTGTGTGTGTGTGTGTGTGTGTGCGCGCGCGTGCAAAGGCTGGGACAGAAGCATCAATCATCTCAAGTTCAAGGCCAGCCTGGGTTAGATAGTGGACTGTCAGTCATCCTAGGCTAGGAGACTATCTTCAGACATCTCCCTATTAATTACTTAGTCTCACCCTCAAAAGCGAACCGCCAAACATACCTTGCTTTATTTAGGCCTCCCAATGATTATGCCAGTTAAGAAAGCCAAAAAGGGACTTGAGGTTCAAAGAGGTTTAGTGCCCTGCCCAAGGTCACCTGGCTGGTTAAGTAGCAGGGGCTGGGATTTAATCCAGCTCACATGTCTGGGAAGCAAGTAAAGACTGAACCAGGGTTCTCAAGATCTGTATTCAAATACGTGAGATTCACTGTCCTTGTTCTATTCCACCCCAAGAGCCCAACCCCCAAGACCAAGTTCCCCACAGCAAATACAGCAGTTTTGCTATGTAGCCTATAGTGTTCTCTCAGAAGTGACATTCATCCAACACAGGAAACCACACATACATGTTACTCTCTACCCATGAGAGGGTACATACAGCTACAGGAGAGGCAGCACTGCCTCCCCTCACCCCGGACAGGCCTTGGCACCATGAGAGCACATGAAAGCTCCCCGCTAAGGATTCTAAGTGCAAGAAACTCACTATGCCCCACACACCACTTCAGATTACAAAAATAAAGGCCACAGAGGAACAAACAAGCTAAGTGGCGCCATGAGAACAGATTTAGACAAAGCCAGGTGCTGGGCGCTACGGAGCTCCCAGCCTGTAGATTGCACATTGTCAAGTAATACCAGAATGAAGGAGCAGAGCACCACCATTTGGAGTTTGTTTTTCTTTGAGATAGGTTTCTCTGTGTAGCCCCAGCTCTCCTGAACCTCCCTTAGGTTGGCCCCAAACTCAGAGATCCGCCTATCTCTGCCTCCCACGTACTGGGATTAAAGGCATGTGCCACCATGCCTGGATTACCATTTGGGCTTTTTGTTGTTATTACTGTTGTCATTGTTTTTGGTTTTTTGAGACAGGGTTTCTCTGAATAGCCCTGGCCATTCTGAAACTCACTCTATAGACCAGGCTGACTTTGAACTCAAGAGATCTGCCTGCCTCTGCCACCACCACCCCTGGCCTCCCCCCCACCCCAGTATGTTACAAATTGCAAAGTGCAGTGAGGAAAATCTATGCTTAGAAAAAGCTTGAGACACACAAATCTCTAAGGTGGCCAGCCACAGCGGCTGTCTCTCTGATAGGAGTACAATGTTTTGTTTTCATTTGTATTGCAGATTTTCTGGAATGTCTGTAGTACTGCTTCAGCAATAATGAATTTTCTTTTGCTTTAGTTTTTCAAGACAGGGTTTCTCTGTGTAGCCCTGGCTGTCCTGGAACTAGCTCTGTAAGCCAGGCTGACCTCAAACTCACAGAGATCTGCCAGCCTCTGCCTCCCAAGTGCTGGGATTAAAGACGTGAGCCACCACTGCCTGGCTAATAACATTTTTTGTTTTTTCTTTTTTAAGTAAAAAGGTCCCCTAGGGCACAGCTACATTCTGAGGAATGAGACCCATATTGGAATGAAGAGTTCTGGAGGTCAGCCACAAGGAGGTCAGATAGATTTCTGCCCTGCCGAGAACACCAGACGAATCTTCAGTCCCTTCCCTACCTTCAAGCCTCTGAACAAAATAATTTGAAACATGCACATGCACACACAGGAATGTGCACACAAACTCACATGCATGCATAAATACATATGCTTTGTTTTTTTATTTTAGAAAGAGTGGTCCTCCTGCCTCTGCCTCCTTCAGCAAATCCTACCATCGTGGATCACCACAACCAGCTTAAAGAGAGTTCTAAAGTTCAGGCAAGAGAAGGACAGAGCTCATTGGCACAGCCAATGCTTGGCATGGCCAAAGCTGTGGGTTCTACCAATACCACCACCACCACCACAACAACGGAAGGAAAGAAGGAAGGAAGGGAGGAAGGGAGAAAAAATTAAAGAATGATCTCCAACCTGTACCTATAAAGTGTAGCTTTCATAAAGTTGTTTTCCCTCTGCCCCATTTACTTTTCTAGTCCATGAAAGTGTATGACTGGATCCCACCACTTAACTAGCAGTCCCTCTCCAGTCCCTGTCCTGAGTCAGAGGAGGCAGAAGTAAATCTGAAACCAGGACTTAACCTTTCAGACAAGGAAGGTGACCAAGCACGCCTGGTAGAGCTCACTCAGAACAGCCTGGCTCCTCAGGGTCTGGTGGGGAGCAGGCTTCCTGGAGAAATTCAGTCTAGGAGGGAGGTGTATGCCAAAGACAGGGCAAAGTGTGGTGAGGACCAAGGCCCGGAACCAGGCGAGAGCACGGTGTACTAAGTGGCTGAGATGTCCCCAAGTTTCTGTGTCGTGGCCTACATTGCCTAATACTCCAAAGGTCCCTGGTTCCACTGGGTGATTCCAGGGCTGGGTCATAGAAGTGTAGGATGAGTCAGGGACATCTTACTGCTAGAAGGGAAGGAGACACTCAAGAATGGCAGAGTCCTTGTCCAGCAGACTAAGAGCCAGCCTGAAAACTGATCAACTCCTCGGAGTTCACCAGGTCTCTCAAAGTTTTACCACTCAAAGTTGCAAGTTCTGGGAGACCGTAATTCCCAGCAAACAAGGACAGTTGGTCACTCTACCATGAGCTACATCTAGGACAAGCTGATTAAAATGAGTAATGGAAAAACAGTGATAACAGCAGATTATACTGAACCCAATCAAAGTATATACAGGTCTGGCTAAATAAATGCAATGTATGATTAAGAATGGATTATGTGCATAGTTTCAAGGCACTGCCTATCAACTACGTATTAATTACAAGGGAAAATAAGAGCCTGGGAAATGGCTCAGTAAGTAAAAACACTTGATATGCAAGTGTGAACACCCTAAGTACAACCCCCATCATCATGTAAATGCTGCACAGTGAGGTGGCCCTCTGGAGATTCCTGGGACAAGCTGGCTAGCTGCAATGTCTGAATTGGTCAACTTTGGCTTCACTGATGAATCCTGCTTCATTAAATAAAGTGGAGACTTACCAAGGAAGACAATTCAATGTCACCTTCCGGCCTCTAACATGTGTGTACATGCATGCACACATCAAGAACCGGGGTAGACAGCCGGACGGTAGTGTCTTTAATCCCAGCACTTGGGAGGCAGAAGCAGACAGATCTCTGTGAGTTCCAGGACAGCCTGGTCTACAGAGTGAGTTCCAGGACAGCCTCCAAAACAAAACAGAGAAACCCTGTCTTGAAAACAACAACAACAACAAAAGAATCGGGATAGAGTGCAGTCAGGATCAAGGCCCAGAGCCATCCAAGAGCACGGTGTACTGAGTGGCTGAGTGTGTCCTCCTGGGATGTGGTGAACAGAAGGTCCCCATCCAAATACACAAAGTGGGGATACCTTCCCGGTAGAGAAGGCTAGTAGGTTTGTGAACATTGCTAGTAATAGGTCAAGTTACAATCATGTGTTCCCTAATAGGGTACAATGGAAAGAATAGAGACAGCACTTACATGCTATCTCCACCAAAAAGGCACAACACCGATCACAAGAAAAACACCAGACAAACCCTAACTGCGGGAATTTTACAAAAGAACTGGCCTGTGTCACAGTCTCAAGTGTCAAGGGAAAACCTGTGAGTTGCACCAGACTGAAGGAGACTATCAATGCGTGGGTGAGTGGACAGGGAGAGATGTGATGCTGAGAAAAAGATTCAAGAAGTCAGCAGAGACCACAGGACCATCACCATTATCACCAATCTTCTCTGCAGCAGCCTCCTAAGGTCCAGGTAAGCTTCCACCGCTCCTGCTGGGTACAAGTAGAACCCTGGGGCTGGGGAGACTAAGGAACTTAGAGTACACAGCAAGAAAGCAGCTGGGTGGGGATTCAAAGTCAGCTCTACGAGCTTTGGGAGGAGGGGTGGGTATTTCTGGTTTTTCTGTCTTTCGTCCTTTATTTTCTTTGTTTTTTGTTTTTTGAGACAGGGTTTCTCTGTGTAGCTTTGGAGGCTGTCCTGGAACTCGCTCTGTAGACCAGGCTGGCCTCATAATCACAGATATCCACCTGCCTCTGCCTCCCAAGTGCTGGGATTAAAGCATGTACCACCAATGCCCAGCTTGGTTTTGTTTTCTGAAACAGGGCCTTGCTATGTAGCTAAGGCTAACCTTGAATTCAAAATCCTCTTTCCTCAGCCTCTTGAGGGCTGGAGTAACAGGTGTGTACCACTATGCTTGGCTTTTCTGTATGGCTAAAAATGATCCTAAACCCCTGGTCCTCTTGCCTCCACCTCCCAGATGGATTATAGGCAGGGGCCACCAAGTTTTCCTCCTGTTGTCTTCCTTCAAATATTTTTACATTGTTTTAAATTATTATTTTATGTGTATGGGTATTTTTGCTTGAATGTATGTCTATG